TTAATAAATAATATAACATTTAAATAAAATATATACACAAATGGAACGAAATTACATGCAAATGTAACTGACAAGTAAAAAACACTATATTAATGTACGAAAACCTTTAATAAACTCAACAGTGCGATGTTAAATCTTCCTTCGAAACATCATCTATTTCGTTACGAGTTATAAGAAGAATTGCTCACTAAAGAGGTGTAATTAACCGTTTTTTTCTTTTTAATTAATTGTACTTAATGTTGTCCCGTTAATCGTTCATGATTACCATATTTCGTGGTGTTATTTCCCTAAACCTCCACCCGCGAGAGAAGCAACTGCTGCTGAGGGGATTCCCAACTGGGGTGTTCTTCTCTTCGCGTTCGCCGAATTGTTCAAATGTTCACCCTCGGCTTGAAAACCGTTCTCGTCTGCTGTATATCCGACCGTATAGATTATGCCATCAGGTCCTAGATAGGAGAAAAATCCTTTAACAGCAATCGACTCTTGATCGGTGCCGGCGTTTACTACTTGAGCTTGTTCGTATTTCCTTTGACCATCGCTCTGGTCAACTCTATGGAGAAATTCAACTTTGAATTTAAATATAAATATTGGGCGTTTATACAAACACATTATAGATAATGTTAATATTTAAAAACATTAATCTGTAATTTGTTTATAATCGAAAATAAGAAATAATATGGCAAAAATTGAAAATGAATTAACCGATTATCGAAAATATTAAGCAATAATATGCCAATAACTGATAATATTGGCTAGTAACTTACTGTTAATTCTTAAAAATCCGATATGTGTAAGCAAATTTATATATCTATACCTTCAAGGTATAACAGTACCTGTCCAATTATTTCTTTTCTTCTTACGTAACAGATTATTAATGAATAAATGTGTATGCAGCGTATGTAAGAGTAGGTATGTTGCAATTTTTGCAACATCACCATTTAGAAGAAATAATGTGAGCTCAGAATCGGATAGGTGATGGTCAGTAATTACCAAAAAATGAAGCAGGTTTGTACATACAACTTTGAACGTTAGTGAATAATTATTGCAATTCGAAATGCTACATTTGTTCTATGTCCTCCACATTGCATAATAATAATGAATGAAACTGATCTTCGGTGAGCATTTGATAGTGAAACATGTTACTGGCATTTACTAGTTTAAATTTTTGATAAAACCGATGACATGTTTAACTTAATTACACTTCATTAACTTAACTTATATAAAAAGGACATTGCTAAAGACTTGAACTTTAACGCATTGCAAATGGCATATTTCATCCTCCTGAAGAAACCATTGCACGGCTGAACAATTGTCGTAAATAATTAAAACATTTTTTTGAAACTTTATTTATTACGTAGCAACCTACCTGTGTGAATTCTATGTATATACGTGTGCGTATAGTGAAGCTGTTAAGTTTAATTGCTTATTATACATCCATGTTAATGGGATAATTGTGGGAAAAAAGACGAAAAATGACTTGTAATACAAAAACCCTAAAACGGAAAGAGTAAGAATATTACGAACTACATCCGTTTTAAATGCCTAGATGTATGTGTGTGTGCAGAGCATTGTATCAGTTCATTTTATAATACCTTCAAGGATACCGGACACTACAACAAAGTCCCCAATTTTTTCAAATGCTGTCGTGTAAAATTCTGACGTAATAAGTAATATAAATATCGTTCACCGGAATTAAAAAAAAAAAGGAGATCGTGATTAATGTTAGTAGATTTACGTTATCCGGAAGCGGACATAGAGATGTTAAATGTAGAATTAAAGTCACTGAGTAAAATGTAAAACAGTTGTTTAATATGAGGGATTTAGTGTCACAGCGAAGCCTTTACTACTACTTTTGTTCATTATCATATTCCGATGCTACCTAGTTGAAATGAAATCTTACTAGCGTAAATCTACAGTTATATATTTGCCGTCAAATTCAACCTTAACAACTAATTTATTAAGGTGTGTATTGATGGATTACATGTACATTAGGGTGGGACCAAAATTTGAAAATCTTTTGTTAATGCCGAAAATATTAACAACAAAAGTTTGAGTCGAGGTTCCAGGCTCATCAAAGATTGTTAATGTTCAAGATATTTTTTTCTGAATTTATTTTTAAAGGAAATACAATTCTTTACAGAAAAAGTCCTTTATATTCTTTTATAGAAAAAATTCTTCACAAAAAGTGTTCGTATGTCAAATTATGTAAATTTAGTAGTTTAATTATAATTTCATTTAAAAAATCTTATTTTCTCGTAATTTAAAAATGGCAGTAGAATAATGTTCCATAACTTTGAACTTTGGCGAGTCTTTGTTTTTGTAGGCATTTGTTTTTTATCGTTAATGAAATAATTTCAAAAGCAACGGATTTTCGGCTTACCCTGTTACAAATTCCTGAATAGGATATGTATCAATTTGGAAATAATGTAATACTTACTCATATTCGTAACCTCTCGAAGGATCATCGTTTCTGTTGTACGTTAATATGTAAGCTGTTGCTGGATTTTGAACAAACCGCGCAAGTTCCTCCCGACTGATGGAAATCGCTGGAAAAGCCGTCGCAAATCCAACACAAAAAATTAACACCAGCGGCTACATCAAAACAAAACGTCTTCGTTAAAGGGCTTTTACGCATGTATGTATGTACGTTATCTATGCACACTAATTAATGAACTAGTACTTTTAATATTAACTAATTTATACCAGATAATTTACAATTTCCATCGATAAAAAAATCTTTTTAAACATTTTAAATCGTTTCTATTTTACCTTTCGACCTTCGCATTTTTGTAAAGCTCCATAAATTTAGTAATAAATAATTTGCAACAGACGACTTATGTGCCATTTCGAAAGAGCATTAGCATATTAGCCGGAGGATGTAATTTTTTAGAGTATTTTCGTTAAAACGATTAAGCTACACACCTGACATTTGCCCACATTAAACCCGATGGACCAAAACCAAAGATTTATTATTCTTGTGGTTGCTTATACATAAATAAATAATAGCAGTTTACACCATCATATTGTGAAAAGGTTTTTACGTTTTACGCAAGAATCGAAAATGACTCGGATGACCTAGACTTTTTGACATTTTCTGAAGGAAGATTTGGATGCAAGCATCGAATTTGTGTCAGTTATTCGCAACGGAAATGCAAGACATAATTTGCTCCAATTTTATTCTATCTACAATGTACTAGTGTTTGCAGCAGCAACACACCTATTTAATTAATATTAAATTATATGTCATATATACAGTAAAGCTACTTATCATACCTATTTCTGGCAATACTTAGGTTTTTCACTCCTACAAATGTAAATTGCATTTTTAGACGTGTCCGTAACAAAATATTGAACTTGTTTCTTCCTTTTTTACTCAATCCTGCAGTGCAAGAAATTTAAATTTAATTTCGGAGCAGATCTTATTATAAGGTGTAAACATAATATAAAAAAAATTGCCAATCATATAGTGTAATTTTTTAAAATAAAATATTCATGTCTGCATATCGATGAAGTATCATCATTTAAGGATTACGTTGTAAGTGAATGGCAAAATAGAATTCATTCATTCACCTGACATTTCTTTGTTTGTATAAATGCAAATACTGCATAGATTTCCATACGTGTANATATCTGTTACTACGGATTTAGTTTGATGGTTTTGAAAATATAAACAATCCACGGCTATAAAAAGTCGATAGATAATCGATCTATTTATAATATAGAGGCCTTAACTTTTCTAATTCTTATGTATATCATCAATGGCTTATTATTCTACTTAAAATTACTATGTTTACAAATGGGAACCTATATAATCCAAATTATTTCAAATTATTTTTGTTTTGGAAATGTTAGCACAATATTAAAAAAGGTCGAAAGTAGTTATGAAATCGGAATAATTATTTTTACATTATTACAAAAGCCAATTGCAAAGTTGAATTTGAAATTTAACTTATATGTCGGATGCAGTCAGTTCTGATGCTACCAATTAATAATAGTGTGCAACGAACGATTGCATATCTAATATGCTACACGGACGGACGCTGGTACTCTATCAATTATTTATTTTATTAAAGGGAAATAAACGTTCACGAATTCACTTACCGCAAACATGATGAATGGTAAACAAATAACTAAACAGGTGCATACTAAAGACACCTTTTATATACTAACGTATACATTCCTACACTCGATCTTTATCCCCACAATTTTGTGGTCAGTTACGAAATTTGATGTCTTATTAATTTGTTGAGGACATTGTGCGATGAGATGGTTGTCCTCGGACAAAATCAGGAGCGGTTTAAAGGGTAGCCACGCAAATTTCCGATACGAACAAACATTTAAATCTAACTCTTGTTAAATCTGATCCGAATAATATCATTAGGAAGTCGAACACAATATGTAACCTTTGATGTTTAATAACGTAACATTTAGTTTAATTTAATTTTTTATCTTTATAATTGCCCATTGTTACTGTGAATACATTAATAAAAAAAAAAATAAAAGGCGAAGTAAATAGTTAAACCAAAAGAACTTAGCTCAAATACTACAACACATTGAAAAAACGTGGATACGTGTTTCGTGTAATCAGATTGTAAATATTTTCAACGAATTTTTAGTGAAAATTATCCTTTCAAAAATTTAGTCTTAAATATTTTTTAAAAATTTTGATTTTTAGTTAGACAGAAATAGTTATTGCTTTACTCCGAAATTAACTAAATTTCGAAAATTTTACTTCTTTATATCGTATCATTAAAAGATGAATTCTTTATTTCCCGCATCTTAGAGCGTCTCAATAAAAAGAGTCTTCTGCAAAAAAATTAATTTTATTACCCATTTGTTTATTGTTTCAGTCTAAAGATTATAACTTATAATTCTTTGCCATAATCGTAGGATATGCACTATGAATACGTAAAAGTAACATTTTATTTTACATTAATTTTCGTCAAAACTCCTTTATTTCTCTTTACTTGGGGTACTTTTTAAACTTTATTATTTACAGTATTTTTCGTTTTTTTTTTTTTNGGCTTTATTAAGGTACTTCAACGACGACACAGTTTACATTCATATATACCTAAACAATATTGATACGGTCGTTTCAATCTTATTTGATCTCATCACTGCGTCTCAATAAATTACTAACCGAACCGAATAAAATTTGGAGCATGAGAGTTTGTAATATCCAAATTGGTGCCGATAATTAGGAAGTGTAGGGCAGCTAACGAACAGTGAATTGATAGGAGGTGTAAGAAAGTAGAAGAAAATTTTGCAGTAGGTAAAACTGATGAGGCTTATAATGTAATTAAAAGGCATTGTTTTATTAATTACTAATAGTGGTCAATGTTAATATGCAACATCAACTTGAAATCACTTTTCGATTTTGAACCACTACAAATTTCCTCAAATTAATGAGAAAAATATTTTTGTTGCTGTTGTCACCCTCATTAATTTGAGGAAATTTGTTATGGTTCAAAATCGAAAAGTGATTTCAAGATGATGTTGCTGCATATTAAGATTGTTATATGCTCATTTTGGCCGTCACTGTTAGTTTAATTGAAACATTTTTCAAACAAAACTTTCTCTGAAAGTTTAATCAAAAAGTGTTTAAACTAAACTTGTTCCCTATTTTAATACAAGCTCATTAATGAAGATACACAAAAGTTATAACGTTATGAATAGTTATCAAAAATTTTAGTGGAGGAGTAGGAACAAATTAAAATACAGGCCACAATTAGAGTAAAGGATTTTGTAGTTAGCAATTACTTTCACCTCCATTTTAAAAACATCGTTTTAATTTGTGGGGCATTAATGAAGAGAATTTTCTAGCTAGAAATTACTAGACTGCACTTTAAAAGTCCAATTTAACGGCGTCATTTTTATTTCTTGATAAATTACTTGCTTCCTTATTAAACAAGCTGCAAGTAACAAAATATATTAAAATAGTTGTGGTGTCAACGAAAAGAATTTTATAGTTGGAAATGAGTAGAGTGCACTTTCAACCCTAAATTTAAAGATGCAGTTTTTAAGTTTTTTTTTATTAAAAACTTCTTATGAAACGAACTGAATGCACAAAAATTTGAAAATGTAGTAGTGAGTGGATAAAATCCAAAATTACGTGGCTCAGACTTATTAATGATTACTTTGGTAAAGAAGTCTTTAATAAAACAATTAAAGCTGTACTGCTGTGTTGATAATAAGAATACACTGTCGTATTGTGGGTTGCCTACACAAAATGACCAATATTTTAAATTTGGATGAAATCAAATAGTGCTAAGAATAGTTGTAATTTAAATAATCTAGAAATGTTATAGTATTAGTCGAAATTTGTGAGCAAATAACTACGTAAGTTTATTTGGTAGATAAGGAATCTTATAAAACAATTATAATTTCATTATATGTCGATGTTAATGAATGCTTTTCATGTTATTTTGAATATTTATCTAATCTGGATATTATTACGTTGTGTATTGTACATTACAACTTTTTATACGATTGCTGATAAAGATTTTTATCATTAAAAACATGGTTAAAAGTGCGGTCTACTTTTGTTTTCTGTGGTTACTATTTCCTTATCTATACAATATCTATGTCCAGCAGATTACTAATGGGTGTGGTGCGAAAACAAACGACGCCATTTTCAAGTTTTACTATTTTACTTTCTTTTCGATGGGTTTTTATTATATGTGTTGTTTTATTTATTTAAAACTGTAGTTAATTCGTTTCTACAAATTGACGATAAATGAGAGGGTGAGGATATTGAAGTTCATTTTGATGTTACTGAAAAAGCAAGTTGTCTTCTATAGTGTTGTTGTTAACATTTCATCTTGGATTATCTTTTAATAAATTGAGGTGAGCATACATGGAGGATAGAGTTCTGCATTGTTTTAACATTGTATTATGTTTATTTTTTTCCTAGGGTTTCTGAATTAATTAACTTTCAATACATTCTCTTAAGATTTTATTTTACAAGAGCAATATAAAAACAAGATGTCATGTGTTATGGAGCAATGGTTGTATCCCCTTTCTCATTCACTTTATAAAGTAGTTTTAGACAATAGAATCATATTTGAGGTGGTCTTAGGCAATTTATACTCATGTTAAGTTACTTATTTAAGTAATATGCCAAGCAATTCTAAAATTCCAATGTTTTCTATTGGTTTTAAGAATTATTATAGGCAAATTGTTAAACAAATTTTAAATTGGACTTTAAAAGTGTGCTGCATATGATATAACCAAGGTGACCGTATTTTTTTATTTCAAATCCGGGACGGGGACGGGGTAGTTAAGTTAAATAACTTAAATATGATTTTTTTAATAA